GTTATTCAAAGCTAAAGCAAGAAATAAAAGAAAATTAATAATAATTAATTAGGAAATTATTAATTTAATAAAACTATTAATTAGGTGTGACACACATAGTTAAATTAATATTTGAATAAGATTAAATATGGATAATAATATAGATTTAAAAATAGTATTAATTATAAATAAGATTAATTAATAAAATTACTTATTTATCTGATTTAGTAGTAATTAGCGATTACTATGCTATATGCTGTGACTGTGCCATATACTATATCATATTTACTGTACTATATGAATAAGTGATTAGTTATAATATTGAAATAAATATAATAATATAATCTTTAATTAATATAGATATTTTATTATTTTAAAGATTCTATTATATTAAAAAAATATCAGATCAAATATTTTTATTATAATAAGATTATTTTTATAACTCAAAAATAAATAATTTTAACAAAAATTTCTCTTATAAATTTATTAATTTTTGTTTAAGCTATAATTTTATTAAAATAGATTTTTTGTTAATTATAATTTTAAAAGTTATAATACTTTAAATTTTATATGTAATTAAAAATTTGATATTTATTATATAAAAATAAATATTTATAAAAATTTTTTTAATTATTTTTGATTGATTAATTTAATTAATATATATAAGATCTGTAATAAAAATTAGTATTTTGATATAATATTAGATATCTTATACTATTTTTTATTATAGAAAATATATCTTCAAAAGATAAATATATATTCAAGTTAATAAAATTTTTTAATAAAATAAAAATTAAAATAATTATTACTTGAAAATTAAAAATTTAATAAAAATTAAAAATAAAATAATAATAAAAAATATTTATAAATATTATTTATTATATAAGAAAAATTAAAGATAAATTAATTAATATTATTATTAATAGTCATTTAATAATATTATTTTAAAAAAATTTTTAAAATTTATTAATAAAGATAATATCTTAATTTATTATAATTTGTAATATTTAATTAAAAATTATAATTTAATTATAATTAATTATAATATCTAATTAAAGAATTATAATCAAATTATAACTAATTATAATTCTATTTTTATTTATTAACCAATCAATTATTAACTTATTAAATATTTATTAAATATTTATTTAATTAATATTAATAATAAATTAAAAATATTTTTAGAAGAAATTAAAAATCTTTTAATTATTATATAAGAATAAAACTTTATGATTAATATATTGATTTTTAAGAATACTAAATATGATATTCTTCTTAATAATATTTAGATTAATAAATAAAAAATTATATTAAATTACTTTATTATTTATTAATAATATATTTAATATAATATTTTTAATACTTATATTAATTATTATATATTAATTATTCAAAAATAAAAAAATTTTATATATAATAATTTTGATTTAAATAATTATAAATTATAAAAAGATTTAAATGAAAAATATGAAGAATATAAAGATTAATAATAAAAAATTATTTATTATTAATATATTAAAGAGAATATTTATAATTAATTAGTAATTAATAATATAATTAAATCTTATTATATTAAAACTAATAATAAAATTCATAATATTTTAGATACAAAAAGAGAATACTTGAAAGATTCTTATTATTATTCATATTTAATTAAAGATAATAATAATTATAAATAATATAATTAAGAATAAAATATTTATTAATAATTAGAAATTATTTTAAAACTCGTTTATATTATGAATATAATTATTAAAACTAATCTTATTGCTTAATAATAATAATAATTACAGAATTTTCTTGATAATTAACTAATTTAATTAATACTAAATATTAAATTATATTAATATATATAGTATAAAATTTATTTAAAAAAAACTTATTTTAATATATTTATTAAAATATTATCTATTAAAAATTAATTTTTAGAAGAAGAAATATTAAATTAAAATATTATATTATTTTTTAATAATAATTATAAAAATAAAAAATAATAAGTATTATTTTTATATAAATTATTAATAGTTATATAATATAATAAAAAAAATACTGATATTTATTATTATATATTAATTAACTTCTAAATACTTTTCAAAATATAAAATACTTTTTAATTATAGATCTTATAACTAAATATTAATAAATTAACATAAAATTTAAAGACTGATCTAAGATAATCTTTATTCCTAAACAAGAACTCTTTGAATTTAATATTATATTCTTTAATTTAATTAATATACCAGTTATATTTTAATATTTAATAAATATTATCTTTTAAAAATATATTAATAATTTATAATTATATATTTTAATAATATTATTATATATTCTAATATATTTGAAGAATATTTTCAGAAAATATTTAATAAAATCTGAGTTGCTAAACTAAAAATATATTAAACAAATATTATTTTGATAAAATCACTTTATTATTTCTTAATTATATTATTAATAAAAATGATATCAAATCTGATTTAGCAAAAATAAAAAAAGTTTAAAGCTTTTTAATGCCAACTAATCTTGTCACACTTAGAGAATTTATTGGTTTCATCTTCATATTACTATCATTTTATCAAAGATTTACTAAAATTGCATTTCTCTTGTATCAATTATTTCATAAAGATAAATCTTTTATCTGGACAAGTAAACAATAAACTGCTTTTAAAGAATTAAAATGTCATTTTACCATTGCATTAATACTAATCAAATTTTTCATTAATCGCACGTTTTAAAATGTTCGACCTATAATCAGGCTAACTTGTTCCTTAATTCTTTTGGTTAAAGTCCACTTTAATTGCTGAAATTTCAACCCGGGTTGCTTTTGCATTCCATAACCCCTGATCTTGGAGCATTTGCAAACCTTCGGGGATATCAACCTTATAAAAACAGAATGAATTATTAATTTATTTTAGAAATGTTGTATAATATAGTTTGGAACAGCGGGAAAGAACGTTCGTTTTATTTTATATTATTACCTAACTGTCCCAGTAAAGAAAATAGGTAATTGAAATGAGGCTGGCAACTACCAAGAGATAACTTGGATACCCTTTGACTCGTAACTTCACCGCCAATGCCTGGAACAGACATGAAACTATGGCATCTCCTTGGTAACATACCAAGGGAAGTTTTCGCCGTCAATGCCTGAACAGAACGAGAAACTTCAGTATAGTCATACCCTCGTTGTTCTCAACAATAGTGGAACAGTTCTGAATTTTTATTATTATGTTTTAAAAAGAAAAATATATAAAAAATAATTATGTTCTTTAATTACCCAAATCCGCGGAAGTTTAATCACAACATTTAATAACATTAATAACTGTTCATTTAATGCTTTATTGTCTTTCAAAAATGTCAACTGAAGTTCCAAATAGTGTTCAAGCATACATTGACAATGCCATTAATAAGAATTCAATAAACAGTTGGTCTTTTACCCTCGGTTTTTTATTGGGGCAGATAACAGTTGTGTTGCTGGTTCTTGCTTTTATAAAATTCATGCTATTGGAAGATTCGAAAAACACAAATAAAAAGGTTTTTATTCCGGAAATTGAAGAAATTCTATAATTTCGTTCGTACTATTAAAGAGTTGTTTATATTCATTTGTATCTAGCGTCCAATTTTATTTCCTTCACCAATATCTGCCACAAAATCAAGCTCAATACCATCATCGTCATCTGCACTATCGACTATTCTTTCCAAAACATTCTATGACCCCATTCACCATTTACCGGAATCAACGGATTGGTTAAATGTTTTATTAGCACAAGCTATAAATCTTTATCGTGATGATGCTCAAACGAATAATCGGTTGTTACGTGTCATTGATGAGGCTTTGAATAGCGGTCTTAAACCTGATTTTGTGGTGAGTAAGTCATTATGAGAAATATGTAAATGATTCTATCAATCGTTATAAAGTATATAAACTTTGATTGTGAGTATTATTGATTATTTTCTATCATTAGCAAGACTAAAAAAACAAAAATTGGAATTTTCTATTGAATTATTAGAAATATTATTTGATAATTTTAATATATAGGGTCCGATCCATTTAACTCAACTTAATCTTGGTGAAGAATACCCTTTATTTAGTAATGCTAGAATAATGCCAACGGAGAAATTAGGAAGAATGGTTAGTTAAAAAGATTTCAAATCGAATTGATTATTTAAATCATTTAATTAATCATAATTTATTGTCTAGCGTGCGGAAATTGATTGTCAATTTAATGATCAGGTTACGCTAGGAATAGACACGCAAATTCTTATTAATTGGCCGAGACCTCGAATCGCAGTTTTACCTATATCGTTGATGCTGTCTGTTGTCAAATTTTCAACCACGGTATGGTGTCTATAATAATAATAAATCTTTTTCATGAAAAAGACTTGAGCTAATTTTAATTTATTAACCAAAAGTTAGCTATTGAGATTGTGAATCCGCCTGATACATCCTCCTATGTTGCTATATCTGCATTGCCTGATTTTATTCTAGAGTTTGACGTTCAATCCTTTATTGGATCACGTACAAAACTTGAAAGTGTACCAAAGGTGACACAATTGATCACATCTAAATTAAGGAATCTATTTCTTGATCGTTTCGTATTCCCTAATTTCAGAAAAGTTGAATTTCCGGATTTAATACAGAAAACTCCAATCATATTACAAGAAGAGAGAAATAATATCAAAAAGGCGTCTACTTCATCGTCATCATCGTCATCATCCCTATCTTCAATGAATACAAAAAATGAGTTTGAGAATGAAGTCAAAACTTCATTACGTACTAGAATCATCGCTAATGATTATTCTATGAATCAAGAATCTGAACTTTATCTATCCTCTACATCCGCAAATTCGCGATTTATCTCTTCAAAAATTAGTAAACCAGTTTCTGGTATAGTAGGAAAAGATCCACCTTTTTCTTAACAAATAGTATTTTACATTTGCGGCAAGCTAATTTTCTAAACTTTATGGATATTAATGTTGTACATGCTAACTATAGTGAGACCACATCTTGAGTTAGAAAATTTTCATAAAAAATATATAAACAATAATGGTATTTTGCAAAAATTTTCTTTTTATTTTTTTTAATTGTTGCTGTACAATGAAAGTGAGAATAAAAAAATTTTTGAAATTGATCAGATATTGGGGTATTTTGTATTTGTTCTGGATAATGAATAGCACGAGTTATTTGAGTTCGTAAATAGATAATGAACTGACAATTATCAAAGGATAGATGGAAAGTCGTAGATAGACGAGATCCAATCATGCGCTTCTGATTAACGTTGATTACTATACTGTTTAAATTGTGACATAATATCAGGTATATTAGGTGTTGGGCCACCGACTGGAGATCCATATTGAGAGGATTGAGGTGGTTGTGCTAAAGCATTATGCGGAGGTATTGCAATTGGTGGGGGAGGATTATTTAATGGAGGTTGACCCATCATTGGTCCATTGTAAGAAATTGGGCCCGAAGAGGGTACAATAGTTGGATTCAGATGTGGATGAGAATGAGGAGGTGGTGGCATTGACATATATGGGTTTTGGTGATGATTATTCATCGGAGGAGCATTTTGTGGGGGAGCAAGTTGTCTCAATATTTGCTGTACATCTAGATTTGGTGGCGGTTGTTGATGTTGTGGGGGTAACATTCCAGCAGCAACTGGCGAAGGTTGTTGTGCTTGCTGAGGAATAACACCTCCGAGATTATTGATTGGCATAGAAGGTATTCCTTGTCCACCTGTTGGCGGCATATTAGATGGAGGTGGGACTGGTTGTTGTTGCTGCTGTTGCAAGTTTCCCAGTAAATTTGCAAGCGCAGCAAAATTTACATTACTTAATAATGGAGGTGGTGGAGCAATATTCGATGAACCCTGTTGTTGTTGTTGTTGTTGCTGCTGCTGTTGCTGCTGCTGCTGCTGCTGCTGCTGCTGCTGAAGTTGAAGTTGATGATTTATTGGTAGAAGATGTGGCTGTTGTTGATGTGGTGGTATCGGTAGGAGCTGCGATTGTCCCATCATTATATTTTCAGGTGCACCTCTTATGTCAACAGGGGGTTGGGAAGTACGCGCTCTTAAAATTAAAGCAACTGCTTCATCTATTCTAATGTTTTCGTATTCTGCACAGAATAAAAATATTTAACGATATTGAATTTATAATAAAATAAAGATTGCAATTGCTACTAACCATCATATTTTACATTGGCATCTCGTGTTCTTAATGACTGATCAAATACTTGCACGTTAACTCTTCCATTAAGCAAGAGCATCCTCTCAAGGAAAACCATAGCATGAACACCTTCGACGATCATTTGTCGTATAACAGCGTTAATATGAAGTTTCTTCCTGGATAAATGTATACTATGTACGGAAATCGATGCTTCAGTAAAAGCACGCTCAACTTCCCATAACATATTTCTGTTTATCAATTAATTAGTTTGAATAAAAAGAGAGCGAGAAAGGGATAACAAAAAGATTAATTTTGAGCAAAAAAAAAAATGAATCAAACTTTTTGCTATTATTTATAATAACCTTTCAATCTCATCCAAAACGATAATTTGACATTCCGGCACTTCATTTCCCTGACGTCTTGGCAAAGGAAACTCGTCGTCGTGTTGTTGCTGTTGTTGTTCTTGAGACTCTGAACGATAAGAAAATTCACGACTTGGTCTTCTTTCATTGAATTCACGAGATGGAATTCTATAAGGCTTCGCACGATTAACATATCGCTCTTCGCGATGTTCATCACGATACGAATTGCGACGGTATCCTCCCCTATCGTTACGATTTCCACCACGAAATTCAAATTCTTCACCACCACGATATTCTCGATGGTCTTCATAGTTGCTACCCCGAGAATCATAGGATGCACGACGGTCAATTTTATGTTCTTGCTGTCGACTACGCTCAAATTCATCATAGCGACGATCCGGTGGAAAAGCTTGCTGCTGTCCATGATGCCCACGGGTTGGCGAAAACCCACCTCGTTCATGTTGATGCCAATCATCTTTGTAACCGCCTCTGCTATTCTGTCGACCTCCTTTGAATCCTCCGTCATCTTGTGAAGCATGATGCCAAGGTTTGCCATGTGATACTTCTAATCCTATATACACATAGAAATAGCAAACGAAACAAGCAGGTTAGGCATTGAGATCTGTATTGAAAGAAATGCAATTGAAGAGACTCTGTATAATATCTTGCCTAGTTTCAATCCATGTAGAACTCGCCCATTTTCTCTCTCAATGGCACGCAATACACTTTCCGGATTATCATATTGTACGAACCCGAAGCTATTTTTAATTGATATCTGTAAAATTTCTCCATACGGGGAAAATATGTCAAAGAGTTCTTGTTTTGAGGTGGAATGCGTCGACAAATTCCCAAGGAACAAACGAGATCCTACAGGTAAAGCTTGAAATTCAGCATCTGATATTCGGCGTATAGTAAAACCACCACCACTAGGTTTACTGTTATTTTCAGTTTTTTCACTGTCAGCATGGGAGCTCGAATGACGATTATTTCGCCATCTACGAGACTCAAAATTATTATTACTATTTTCATCTTCATCGACGACAGATGATTTATTATGAGTATGCGAGTAAATAGCAGCAGAAGGGTCTTTGTTTTCAAAATGATCTGATGGGTCTTTGGATTTTAATGAAGAAGAGTCAATTTGCATCATTGAATCGGTACTATTTGTTCTATTACTATTATTATTATTGTTATTAATATTTGATGATGATGATACTTCATAAGGCTCATCCGGTTTTTTATGGAGGTTATTTAAAGATGCATCACGCGCTAATTCAGATTCTTGTTCTGCGGAAGAGGTATTGGCATCTGCTACTATTCCTGAAACATTAAGTATACTATTATGATTATAATTATTAACTTCTGGTTTGGGGTTTGGCGATACAGAAGCTGTCATATGAGACGATGACGACGATGATGTGCCAACATTAGTTGCTTCGGATACTTTTGGGGTCTCTATCGATGATGATGATTCTTGATTTGAATTTAGGGCTGTAGAAGAAATAGCAGTAGCAGCAGGAGCAGTATCAGCGTTCAAATGTTTGTTCTCAATAGCAGCATTGGGTTCAATTTTATTTTCTATCTCATCAGCATGTGGGTTAGCAGCATCAGCGGATGGGTGATTAATACTAGTATTACTGGGCGGAGTCTCTACCAAATCTTCGCCAAAAATGCTCATTGGTTCATCTTCATGCTTTACATTATGATTATTATCATCATTTGGTTCATTGGAATGTCCTTGCTCATGCTGCAACAATTTATAATGATGCACATTTTCAGCATCGTCTCTTTTCATAGAGGATGAAGAGGAAGTAGAGTTGGAAATAGCGGAAGAAAATGTGACGTTGACGGTATTATGATGTTCTATTTGTAACTGATTGGGACCATTATCAACAAATGCTTGATTATTATTTCCCAGTGATATAGTAGAAAAATTTTGTCCCTGTTGGGAGAAATATGCCATATCATTATCATTAGGTTCTTGTTGACGTTGCGAAAAAGCTGCTGCTTCTTGTTTATCTATTCCTTCTTGAACAACATTTGTATTTTTATTTTCCAATTCTGGTGGTTGTGTAAAATGTATATCTGATTTATTAACATTATAATTATTATTCTGAGAAAGACTAAAACTTTGATTGTCGAAATTACTATATATGTTGGAAGAAGTCTCGTTCATTTGTTTTTGCAAAGACGACAAACTTTCGCTGCTATTATTCTTGTTTTTATTGTCGCTATTGTTATTGTCTTGTTGGAAAATTGAAGCCGAGTGGGAATCTTTTTCTGCTACAGAAGACGACAGTGGCGGCTGTGACATTCCTGTTGTAGTCAAGATCTTTTCAGAGCTAGCGGGAAGGAACGCACGAACGTCTTCAGAGGACGAAGGTTGTTCAATAGTTCCGCTCATTTTTTTGCTAAATATTCAAATAACACACTTCCGATCTAAAATCTGTCTATAAATTGAAGATCATTGTCCGAATTCTTGGGTGAATAGCAACGTGTATATATTATTCCAGGCATTTTTTCCTATATATGATATAGATTCAAATTCAATTCATCAATATTACATTATCGTTATAGTTTAGTAGATGTCAAATGAATGCAGCAGCTGGAATTAATAATAAAGCTCATTCTGGAACAAAAAATTCAGCACCTCCACATTCTTCACAACAGCAACTTCTATTCTTTGATTCACTTATTGCCAGCTCTTCTCACAACAACGACGACCTGCCGACCGAATGTATAAGATTCCATCAGCGGGTCGTGTTGTCGGAAATTTGTATAGTTCCCAAGAATTTTAGACCGTTTTTGGGAAATCGTAAGAATGATTATGCTGGGTTAGTATTTATTCACATCGATGTATGTGCTCATAGTTTTGATGTTGATAATAACAAAAATATGATTAAATTTTTCTTGTCCCTGAATCTTTAAATAGACAGACCACCCCCTCCAAATTTGATTTACAACTTCTCATCCACAAAATGGCGACTTCGGATGTAGCCAAATCTCCCACCAAAAAAACTCTTCCATCATACCCTCTACACCCATTTACAATCTCCTATGACGAAAGACGAGGATACCAAAGTTTTGATGTAGCACTATCACCAGAGGTGAAAATTCCTCATTAATTTACTATTATCTATAATGCAATATACCTCCTGATCTTGTTGTTGTTGCTGTTGTTGTCTATTATATTATTGTTTTTGGTTAAATTTTTATAAAAGCCTAAATCCAACCAAATAAATGAATGAATAATGGCTTGGTAGGCGACAACTCGGTTTATTATTCTACGTGGAAACTACCAGGCTGTGACACTTTGTATATACGGTCGAGTGGTGGAAAGCAATAAAGTGCTTGGTAATAATCCACAAGCGAAGGCAAATCCTAAAGAACAAAACAGTGGGGATAGTGTTTTGGCTGAATCATCTTTCTCTTCTGCTATTCACAAGGCAGCATTTAATACCGCTGAAAGGAAAGATGAAAATGAGAGAGGAAATACAAGTATAAATAATGTTTCTAATGGAATGATGGCCTATCTGGAATCAAATAAAAACATATCAATAGATGATAATAAAATTGTACATTCCGAATCATCATCCTTAAAAAATCCTGTTTCTAATTCAATTATCGAAGGGGGATTGCAACAAGAGGCTATAGCTTCATCATTAATTCTTAATCCGAGCCCCGAATCTCTTCAAGACACATCGGCATCAATAGCAATAGATGGTGTTCAAAAAGAACGGACTATACCATCATCTTTCATAGTGGAAAACAATTCCATTACAAAATCTGCTGTCTACTATGAAAATGAAGAGCATTCTCTCACTAATACTATATCAATGGAGGAGGACAGTGTGTATAATATAGACGATGGCATGAAAGATATTTCTGACGAAGAGCGTGTTGGAATGCTTTTTAGAAAAGATCGAACTGGACCCTTCAAAGTGTTAAGTCCTTTAATTTTGCCAAAATGGATGATAGCTTATGATCCAGATGAAACTTTCATGAATGGCTTACTTTTGGTAATAAAAAAAAGAATAATATTGTTTATATAAAATTAATTTGGTTTTTTTAATATCATTTCTTTTTTATTTTATGATAGCGTCATTTTTCACCCGACGAAACTATTATTTCGCTAGCAAGAAATTCATTTTCGGAAACTCATTTTCGTAAATCTTGGGATCAGTTACGCCGTATTGTCCGTGAAATTGATGATCTATTGTCCAAACCGTTCGACTCGAATGTTCTCGAGTACCTTGATGTGGAATCGCAATCTAAAAACACTACTTCTTCCCTAACAGAATTACTCTGCCAGACGAATGATGCGATAGTAGAAGCGATTGTTTGGGCACAACATCATAATAGTAAATATGAAGGTGAGCGAATGATTAGATGTTTTTTTATTATATATTTTTTGCATATTTATGATCACCTTATCGTGTTAATATTTATTTGATAATTTAGATAAATTATCTTCGATAATGAAAAGTATAGTTTATGCACTTGATTTAACTTCTGGAAAGGTAAGCAATGTTTTTCTGCATTAAATATAAATAATTGATATTCTAATTATGCTAATTCACTATGTTTTTTTAACGATGTACTAGTCTTCCGTAAATCTGTTTGTAAATGGCATTTCTTTATTGAGCAAGCTTTATTCGTGCGGCGACAATATTATTGATAGCAAATGGGTTTGTACAAGACTATTCTTATCTCATTATTGTTTACTCTTATTAATATCCTATTATAATGCCTAGATTCCAATATGTTTGGAAAAAATGCTTGCTTTGTTAAGCACACCTTATACTTCGACATTTTTACAAACAAAAATTCTTGAAGGTTTAATTAATTGTATGGATGATTCTAGAGTTGTTGAAAGACTGCTGGGCTGGGATGATGAAACCTCTGAGAAAATGACCCCCTATCAAACTTTTATTTTACCATTGTTGCAGTCAGATAAATCGGCTTCACGTGTATTATACTTGTTACAAGTGATTATTCGTAAAGTTTCATTATACGAGGCATGTTTTCAGATACAACGAACCGCAAACGAAGCACTTGAGCACGAATTATCCCGAAGAAAGGGAAAACCATCTAAACTAGGAAATTTTGTTCCGCAAGAAGATCCAATAAAGCATCAAAACATTGAGAACACAACCGTTGAAGATGATAACCAAATGGATATTGACAATGCACCTCAAGATCATGGTAACAATATTGAGCAAATTATTGAAAAAATTATTAAATGGTTAAAGATTATATCGAAAGCAGCGCTATATCATATGGCATTGAATCCTAATGAATCGAACGATGATCATCAACCTTCTTCTTTCAGTTTTCGTTATCTCACATCTACTCGCTTATTTCCCGCAATCACCGTTTTTTTTTCATCGTATAAATTTCGCTCTTCCAATAGATTCAATGATCTAGTTAATTCTGTTGCAAGGTTATGTGTGACCTTGTTGGTTGCACCGTCCGGAATGCTTTATTTAGCTAAACAGCTGCAACCAAAACCTGGGTCCTCTGTTGAGCCATTATTGGCCTTATGGACTAGTCTTTTATGCCATGAAGGTGTCGCAAGCATAAACAATCAAATGGATGATTCTGAAACATCACGGACTATTCCTCATGTTGTACTTCAACGATGGGCAGATGCGACTGAAATACGACAAACGATCGGTATTGCCGATATTTTGTGTGGATTCGGTAAAAGTTCGAGTGGTGGGAATTACGAAGAAGATTATGATTATATTTGTGATTATTCTGAGGATGACCCTCAATCTCGTTATTGGGAGGACTCCGATATGCTAAAAGCAAGACGCATATTAAAAATGCAGAGTTATGGCACTATCGGCGCAAAGATTGATCATCTTGATCATTTTATTATTTCATCCGATCAATTAATTATTTTACTGGCATATCAATTATATGCTATTGCTGCAGTTGAAAAATTATTAGAATTTGGCTCTCAAAGATTAGATGAAGATCTCTGGGTAGATAACGGAAAGATAGCTTCCTTGTTAAATGATTTATTCGAAATGACTGCCTTTTCAGTTGGAAAGCAGGTAATATACCATTGGCTGGTTCTTAAAAGTTATTAACGGCATTCAATGTGATCTCAAACCTTTTATTTTTATTAGGCTGTGGCATCAACTATAATCTATCTTGATGCGTTGCCAATTTTATTATCATTTTTAAATAACAACCAATCTGACGATAACAATATTCTTAATTCTGTTTACAATCTAACCTCAAATTTAATTGGACGGCTTCCGCTTGAACTATTGGAAGTTATTTTAAAATTTTCTCGTGCATTTCCATATATGCTTAACCCGGAAGTTAATGAGTTAGTCTCGGCTTATGTGATTTCCGAAACGCATTTACGCGCATTATGGGAGCCGATTGCTATTTTCCACGAGACCGGAACTATTCAGAGTGTTATTGATTTGATTAAACAACAAAAATATTATCCAGAATGTTTGCGGGAACACACCATTGTCAATCAAGTATTGATAGCCATGCGATTATTATTAACATATACATATACGGATAGAGGAATAATGCAAATACTCAAGGCTCGAATGGATGATTTTAGCGGATTAGATAATGGCGATAGTCTTTTAATTTTCTTGTTGAGACTTTTAAACTATAGCGCTGAGGTGTTATCTGATTTAAGTGATTTCGCTGTGTATACTGAACAGCCATCGACCACCGATCCTTCTGTATCAGAAGGTTATCCTGGTGATGCAATTCAAGATCCCGCAAAATCGATTAGTTCTGAACAATCAAAAGAAGAAAATGACTCATCCCAAGGTCCAAATTTTGTTTCTTCAAATATTATGCTCTCTTCGGAGGTTTTTGAACTCCGTCGAGAACTCCTCGAACTGGTTTGGTGTGATCTCATTCTTATCCAACAACTGCTACTCTCTATTTATGGTGATCCACAGAGTAGTGCTGCGAGACGCCATTTTAACGATATTTACGGTAAAAAGGAGTCACCTGATGATCCGCTGCCATCTCAGGAAAAATCAATGATCCGAGCATTTGTTGAGCCATTATTGATGCTGATGTCAGCTTTAGATCATATTGATGGTCGTCTGAGCGATCAGCTTGGTGCTGCCTCATTGTTATTTACAGAACAACAAATTAAAAGTGGTCAATCAGCTCAGATTGCCAGAATTCGTGGCTTAATTTTTAGTGTTTTTGGTCTTTTAACTCAGGTGAAAATCGAGGAAACTGATACTAAACAGCAGCAACATGATAGAGAAGCAATGAGTTGTCATTTTCGGTTTTTTTCAATGTTTGCCGGGCGGCACGTACTCAAGCAGTTGTGCGAATTCATGTCTGAAGGTCCTGATAATATCTTAAGTGGATTGCACATAGTGAGTGAGATACTTCCCGTTCCATTACCTTTACGCAAAAATTTACACGATTTGCAAAACGATGAATCCACGGAAGATACTTATCACAATTTACACAGTGACGAATGGATAACAGTTCAAAACCAAGCCAGACTTTTGCGCAAATATTGGATCGAACAATTAGTTCCATTGAGAGATGAATTGATGCGATTAATCAAAAGTTTAGCTCCCTCCAGCTCAAAAATTTTACATATTATGCTCAGAACCGTTATTTCTCAGGTTGTTGATTTAGACATTCTTGACAATGGATTGGCGCGAGGTATTGTTGGCGTCATTATTAATGGAGTACGTGAAGCTGCACATCAATATAAAACAGCAATTGATAAGGTAGACACGAAAGTAGTCGAGAGTTCTGGCACTAATGTAAAGATTGGCAATAGTACTATCACAGAAGATGCGATAAACCTTTTGGATATTGATACTGAACACACAATATTCGGTCGTTGGCTTAGTCTTCTGGCATCATTATCTGGATATTCTTCCGGAAGAACCTTAGTGCTCGAGATGCTAAGAGAAAGGATAGATGACCCTATGATTTTAGATGATGCGACTAATGAGCAGTCTTTTAACGATGACACCAGTTTAATATCTTCATTGCTCGATTTAGTTCGTACAAACCAACAAATGGATTATACTTCTGATCTTATAATGGAAATATTGTATTCTATATGTGATAATACAATTGCTATATCTAAAAATGATATGCCTGATATTAAAGAACTTTCTACGATAACTGAAACACTTTTGGATTGGGTAAAACAAGGCAGAGATGGTAGACTTCAAATAGAATCATTATTGGTTTTACAAAGAATTACAGAAACCGAGCTAGGTATCATGTTGATATTATCTGAATCTAATCATCGGCAACTAATTAGTAATATGTTGACGTGGGTTCCTGATCTATTGCGATCACAAGATTTAGGAATGCAAGATTTAAATATTGCTTATCATTCAATCATTTTTATTCAAAAAATAATTGAATGGAACGCAAACTCTGTCAATTTCAATGATGATAATGATGGTATGGAAATGGTAGGAAAAACTCACTGTGTTAAACCTCTTGCGGTGTTGATTGATTCCGCAGAAGATCTCGAAACTCTATTGAAAGCATACGAAAACATAGAGCAACATGTCCTTGAGCTTCCATTCGAACCGAGTCACGTCGAAGAAGAGGTATATGATATGGAGTTGTGTCAGTTACTTGCAAGTGTTATAGGGCGACTAAAAGAAACATTTCGAGCGTTTTTACGTGAGACGAACGATGATCACGGAAGAAATGGAACTGAAACTAAAGAAATTGTCAAAGAATTTGGTCAAAGATTGTCAGAACTTGTCAAACAAAGGCAAGAACAAAATCCGAAGAAGAGAAATGTTCAGAATACTGTTGAATCTAGGAGCCACGGAACAACTATCAGTAAGTTTCGGAATCAATTACTACATTCGGTGCACTGTTTAGCCGATCAATATTTGAAATTGTATAACTACTACTACTACTACTATCATCATCAACAAAAAACCCAATCAAAGGCAATCTACCTCATATTCCTTTCTACGACGTGGTGTTCGACGCGGAAGGCAAAGAAGGTGACGGCGGACTATTTAATATACCGGACGCTGAGATCGATTTCGAATTCTTTGCAAAGGAAATGTTGCCCAATTTTCAATTCCATAAAAAAATGAAAATGACAAGCGATAGTGCAGCAAAGGGTAGAAAGCTTTTGAAAGCACGAACACTTAGTAAACTCGGTGGAGTTGCCTATGAAAGCAATGCGCGTAGGAATTTAGGTGGTGGAAAAACCTACCAGAAAAACGAATTTCGTAGTATACATAATAATCGGAAGGCTAATACAAGTCGTCCTCCATCAGTCCACGTGGACGATTTTATATCCGGAAAGATACCAGCAAATCAACAGCATCCTGATATGGTTGTATCTACTAGCAATGCCACCGCCTCAGCTTCGGCAGCAGTTTCTGCTTCTACCCTACAACAAAAGAAAACAACAAATATTTCCAATCGCCAGCCAACCCCTAATAAAAGAGGCAGTATTACAGCCACGACTGCAGCTCCTCCTCCAACAGTTACTAGTGCCAGGGGTGGACGCGGAAGACGTCCAAGTACTAGTTCAGGATCGACTCCTCGTGGTGCAGCACCGCGTGGAGCAACCAGTACTGGAAGAGGAACTGCAGTAGGCAGAGGTAACACTGCCAATCCTGCCATAGTGGGTGCATGGGATATAGGAAATGGTGCATGGACAGGCGCTCCATCATTGTCGCCAATATTAATGCCTCCGCCTATGTCAAAATATATGGAATTTGACAGAAGAATGGAAGGACAAAGGGATTATCCTCCACGCTATGAAAGTCAACCAATTCGAACTGGATATTATGACAATCCTTATTATGGTGTTCCTTCGACAATAGTACCTTATGATCGGCCGCCAGTCCAACAAACTGCTCCTGGTATGGGACCAAGGGTAAAAAATGCAAGTGATAATCGTGGAAGGACTATTCCTCAAGAATGGCCACAGAGATCTTTAGCTTCGCAAACTTTGCGGCGTCCTGAAAGACCATTTGGTCGACGATAATTTTTGTTTTTTTTATTAAATTGAGTTTTTACCTTTAATCAATCAAAATTGTCAATTTTTTGAATTATTATGAGTATTTTATTTTAGCCCTATATTTTTTTATTTTAACAATTTAGAGATATGACAATCCTTAGGCTAGAAATATAACAGATTATTTTTATTATGATTGACTATCATTATACTGCATTACCACGATAAAACCTCAAATAACTTCCAATGTTGAGTAAACCCCATCTTTCTCGACCGTCAACCATTAGTTCAACTTTTTCCTCCTTAATAAATACTTGATCCATCAATCCTATCTTTTTGCCATCTTTATACACTTCACCATAATAATCTATTATATACAAATCAGGATTTGATTTACTGACATCACAAATAATGTTTCGTCTTACCATTCTACAAGAAAAAAGATTCAATATTTTAAGAGACGCTATCTTCTCCCCTACCAATGATTCACATGTAACATCGTCACATCCGGTGAGAAACAATTCCTCTATTTTAGGCGATTTTTTGAGAATCTCTAAAATATTAGAATCATTGACACTCCAACACCAATCGAGATTAAGCCTTCGTAATTGAGGCTGATTTAAGTGCTCGAGGGCTATATTGGTAACATTGGTGCATTCAGAGAGGTCAAGCGAGATAAAGGAGTAGCCTCGTAAAGTAAGATGCTCGAATAATTGACAAAACCTAAAAAAGTCTAAGAAATATCAGACAAGCGAGATTACAATAAAGACAGATTGGACAAAAAAATAATGACCCTTCTTCTGTAAAAGTAGCTCCTTTACGCAATCGTAGATATTTGAGTGACGGGCAAAGATTACGAATTAAACCATTAAGAAAAACATCAGTCAAATTCTCGCAAAATGACATGGAGAACAAGACCAAATTTGTACAATTTTCAAATATCGAGATGACTGGTTTATCATTTATTCCTTGTCCATCTATGGCGAGATATTTTAAGCCATGTAGATGAGCGGCTAGACATTCAATACCAGCATCCGAAATCAGTGGACATCCATCTAAATCTAATTTTATTATTCGATCACCGAAATTAGAAAGATTCCAGAATACTGCATTGCCCAAATTTTCGTTATATGCCAAAACAATAGTTTTTAATCGGCCTACAAGCATCTCGAGTGGTTGAATATCACTGATTTTATTGCATCCTTCCAAGAATAATTTCTCTAATTTCACGCAATGTTGTCCAATGTATATCAAACATTCATTCGTAAGTTGATGGCTTACAGACAGATCCAAAACTACATAAATAACAATTTATTAAATAAATGTGAAATATAACTTTTCCGTTGTATATCTTTACCTTTTAGCGTTTTCCCCGCGGGACCTATCACTAAAAGTCTAACTTCTTCATCGGAAATACCGCTCGCTCTTGCATCTAAAAATTCTACTTGAGATAACCTACTTAAAATGTTATTTTTGAAGCCTTTGACGTTGTATAAAATTGCTTCGTGCCATAATGAAGGAGAATATATAGCATCACGCCAGACGCGCGATACACGGGCAGCATTAATTTTATCCTGTTGGGCAAGAAAGGAAAATATTAATAAGGTTATTTCATTAGGAAGAAAGAATAAAGGGCGGTCATAAGTTTTGGGATCGAAATGCTCTTGAGACGTTTGTTCTTGATTCATCTTGGAGACGACGATAACGCAAATATTTCCACTATAACGCGTGAAGATAATTAATGTGACAAATCAGATTATGCGGGATCATGCGATGTAAAAAAAGAATGAATATACATACAAATTTGGTGCGTAGCATATAACTTACATTTGTAATACATAGATTTATAAATAGAGACAACGAGCGCGTGTTTGGAAATTTATTACACCTAATTTATTTTTCCTTCCCAATTTCCGTTTGTATTCGTGATAAAATGGATGAACTTCTTATAGTATATCATTTAGAAAATGCACAGCAATTTTGGGCTGGTATGTTTTAGGCTTCTTGTAAAATTAGAAACTCGAAATAAACTCATTTCCTTTCGTTTTCTCTTCAAGAACTTGAGGACATACTCACAAGAGGAGAACAAACTGTCGAAGCTGCAAAAACTTGCTTAGATGAATATATTGGGTTTCTTTCAACGTTTCAAGGTATGCTTTTTGCAGCAATTTTCAATTTTCATGCTTTTTGTGTTTTAAAAGTTATTTATCGTTTAAAGTTCTTTTATCCTTAGATGAATATCTTGAGACCGAGTCTGATTTAGCTATTTGTTGCTTCAAGTTATTTGACTCTCGCATGTACGCAAATAATTCAGAGATATTGTTAGAACGGATAATTGATCGAGCTGCATTACGTGATAACCTTAAAGAATTGTGGGTTACATATCATATGTTGCTTTTTGCTGGTAAGGAAAATTTGAAAATATTCAAAGCGATGATAAGTAGAAGGAAAAAAGAATTCTTTGAAAAATTGAGGCGGCATATATGGAAATTGGAAGGTAAGAAAAAAATTATATTTCTTAAATGCTTCATCCTAAAAAAAAAACAATATCTCTGAGAATGTTTGACCTCTTTATTTGAATTTAGGAAACAAAATTCAAAAGATCTCTATACAATTATTATTTGAAATATGTTGTGTTCAAAAATTATCGTCCTGTAATCTTTGTAAGTTGAGGAATGTGTTAATGAATTTTTTGTTAATCATCTTCCCGATCTTCTTAATAATCATCATCATCATTATCATCTTCGAAATAGATATGATTGATGAACTATTAATAAATTATTTACTTGATCTGGTTGAAAAGACAAGAGATGAACATGATGAGACATACAACTATTCCATAATAAAATTAACTGTGAGTTTAATATTCTATTTTTCATCCGATGTTATATGTTTTACGTTTGATTTCGGATTTCATTTTATATTCGATCTAAATAAACAGTTGTCATTCAACGAACAATTTATGTTGGCTAATATGCCACACGCTAACGAAGATGATGGCGTTTGTGATCATCACGATCACGAAATCACTACTAATACAGTGATAAATGTTCTTGCCGCTCGTATTGGGACCAGTAAAACATTTGGCGAGAATGTCATTTTTATGCTTAATCGTTGTGGTATAGATTTCTTTTTCATTCAAATTTCAAAATCTTTTCATTGATCAGTACTAATGGAATTTTTCTTATCTATTACAGTTGAGCCACACGTTCAAATGCTCACTCTGAAATTACTTTATCAGATTTTCATTACACCAGCAACTTACGAATATTTTTACACCAATGATCTGATGGTACTTGTTGATGTTATTATAAGAGAATTATATAATTTACCGGAAGAGAGTGAAGCGGTGTGTCATAATTTTCGTTTGGAATAATTAATAAATTATTATAAAGACATATTAACTTATTGATTTTTTTTATGCGTAAAAAAAATTAGCTACGACAAACTTATCTTCGAGTATTGTACCCTTTATTAAAAAATACACAATTGTTTAGATTGAGATACAAGCAACATCAAATATATAGCCTACTTATTGATTTGATTGGTACAACTGAAAGTAATTATATAAAAATTTCATCTACAACAACACAAAGATTAGCTCAAAGATGTTTGCAAGTAGAATATTTAAGCGGAATTGTTGCAATGTCAACTCTATCTCAATCTTCTTCACCGATGGATACAGCAAACTTAACGGATAAAATCATTGAGAATAATAACAATGTTAACAGCAGTCGATCTGCAACCGGAAATGAAGGCGCTGTTGCTGCGGGTGTAGTAAATCGAGGAGTTATCGTTGGTGGTGCTTAAAAATATCTTTATTTAAAAGAACATTTAATTTCTAGTCGACTTTTTCAATTCTATTCATTACGGACTTTTATTATGCCTGATAGATTTGTAAAATGCTATTATTTATTTGTTATTATGTTACACAAAGATTAATGATTTCATCATCAGTATTACATCAACTAAGGATTATCTAATAAGGCAAAAAAAGATACGCCTTAATATAATGTTCAAGCCTGATGATGCACGAATACGCCGTTTGGTTGCTCAAACTGGCGTTTATCTAGTATCCACTTTATTTCCCAACTCTCCTTAAACATTCTTTCCTTCAATAGTGACTTTCTTATAGTTTCTTTCATTTAGCTCATTAAATCATTTATCTCAATAAAAGAAACAAAAACTGCTATACAAACATGAAGATTAGTCTGTTTTTGATAGCAGGTGCTATACTAGGCCTGTCTGCTGATGCGGCCGTCCACAAGTAATGCTATACTAAATTCTGTAATTCTTCAAATCAAGTCTCGCTCTGTCGTATTTATTTCCATAATTAAATTTAGAGTGACTTTGAAGAAGGTTTCTGAAACTCCCTCTCAAAAGTTTCAACGATATTCGCAGTCTGGAGAGTATTTAACTCACAAGTACTTTAGTAGTTCGCGACGCTTGCAACATGCAAACAAATTATTTACTCCAAGCTTTGATGGAAATGTGGAACACGGCGTACCTCTTTCAAACTTTATGAATGCACAGGTTTGTAAATTAAGCGAATCAGATAAATGACTCGTGAATTTTATAATCCTTAGTGATCATTGAAAATTTATCATAGTATTTTGGTGAGATTTCACTTGGCACACCTCCACAAAAATTTACGGTAGTTTTTGACACCGGCTCATCAAATTTGTGGGTTCCATCAACTCATTGTTCATCCATCGCTTGTTTCCTTCATCGCCGGTTTGATTCCAGTAAATCCAGCACTTTCAAAAAGAATGGCACTGAATTTGCTATTCAATATGGAACAGGTAGCTTGGAAGGCATTATTAGCAATGTAAGTCTAATTGCATTCATATTAATAGCTCGAGTGAAGGCTATAATTTGTATATAATATTCACATAGGATGTCTTAAATGTTGGTGATATCGCCGTCGAGAAACAAGATTTCGGAGAATCTGTTAAAGAACCTGGTTTGACTTTTGCATTCGGTCGATTTGATGGTATTTTTGGTCTTGGTATGTATAAACCTAAGATAAAAGACTTTATTGACAATTTAATAAAAAATTTATATATATATATATATATTGTTATTATTATTATTATTATTATTATTATTATGCCCTCTTTTTAGCTCATGACAAAATCTCTGTTAAGGGAGTTGTGCCTCCGTTCTATCACATGGTGAATCGTAAACTAATTGATGAGCCAATCTTCTCTGTTTGGCTTAATGATGCTGAGAAGGACAAAGAAGTTGGTGGTGAACTCGTCTTTGGTGGAACTGATGAATCTCGTTTCACCGGTGATATTCATTGGGCCCCTGTTCGCAGACCTTATTATTGGGAAGTGGTGCTTGAAAAAGTAATATTTGGTAAAGATGAAGTAGAATTTGAAAACACAGGAGCTGCTATCGATACTGGATCATCCCTTTTGGCTGTACCCTCGGTGGTTGCCGATTTGATTAACAAAGAAATTGGTGCAAAGAAAAACTTTGCTGGTCAATATATTCTTGATTGTGATAAAGTAAAAGATCTGCCCGATTTTACTTTATTCTTTAACAAGAAACCTTTCAAATTAACTGGCGATGATTATATCTTGAAAGGTATTTAAATTAATTGACAAATTAAGCCTCTGATACCATTTTTTCATATTGATTTTTTTTATAATTTCAGCTCAAAATCAATGCATTTCTGCTTTTATGGGTTTGGATATCCCCGAACCTCTTGGTCCTATTTGGATTAGTAAGTTCTCGAGACTATTGTTAAATATTATATTACTGTTTTCTCTAATTTTTTTTTGATAAATAGTTGGTGATGTTTTCCTCCGCAAATACTACACTATATACGATCTTGGAAATAAACGAGTAAGTGTCATACAGTTTCTATCCTAATAATATGTTGATTGATGATACTTTATTTTATTTTTATTTATATTTATATATATATATAGGTCGGTTTTGCCAATTCCAAATAAATTCTTTCGTAGGAATAATTTTTAGTTTAAGGGTAACGTGCCAAACACATACAGCTATACAAGATATCAACCGTTCAATGGTTTGACACAAATTGTTGTATGTTTAATATTATTATAATTTGTTATAATGCGATCATGAACTTGATTCTCTGACTACTTTGAGATCCTGGAAACATATGAATACGTTTCAATTTTCTTTTGTTCTTTAATAAAGATATTAATAAAATAATTTATCAGAACATTTGATTATATCTTTATGTAATATCAAAGATACTTTCATATTGATTGACATTCAAAATTACACTTTACAAGTGTTATATTATTTTTGGAATGTATGATCGAAATATCTAGTACTTAAAAACTTTTTTGTCAAGCTAATCTCGATTGATAGATTATGCAAGAGGACTGATCATCCTAATAATTAATTTTGAGAAATTAAAGCATCTAATATTGTTAATACAACAAACAAATGAATATAAAACTTACCTTATCAGCGATGGTCGTGGATTACTTCTGGTAAAACCTGATGTTTTCATCAAAAGTAAATAATTGAATTGGGAAAGGAATAAACATTTATTTATTTACCTAAATAAATAATAAACGGAATAAAACCCCAATGCACGATAGTTTTCGCTATCTCCGTAGCTTTGATAATTTTTTCCTAGAACATATTAGAGTTAAAAATTAAAGAAATAAGAAATCGAGGTCAAACTATAAGTGACTTTTACTTTGGTTTCTTCCCGCATTCCTATTATTTTATTATTTGTATTGATAGCGATAGAAATGTGATGAGAATTTATAAGCACGTTTGAAATATGAATATGAAATAAGGTGTTCAATCGACTAATTAATCAAATCATAATATATGTCGATCATTAATTGCGGATTTTTTTCAAAACCGGTTACCGTTTCAATTTTTTGCCTTAGCGTTAGTAATGCTTATCAATGAAAATCATATCTGATAAATGACATAGATCTGACATATCCAAATTGGACAAGAATATCAGTACTTATAACCCAGACAAAGAAAACTAACAGGCAGATTAACTGAACAACCAGATTTAGGGCAACAAATACCATTATCGGAACTTTATGAGAATATCAATAATCTTTTACAAATTAATAATAGACAAATCTGTTTAATTACAGAAATTAGTACATTCAAGAAATCCAAATTCGTATTAAATATCTTATTTAATAATAATGGAATTTGGATATCTAAAAGAGCAAATAATGCAAAAATAATGGCTGGAAAATGGCAAATCCCTGGAGGAAAACTGAAAAACAGAATTCAAATAGCAAAATACGTGTATAAGAGAAATATTTGAAGAAATAGGAATTAAAACCAACTCATTATTTATATTTAACAACTAAAAATTAGATCAGAATAGATATGATTGTGATGTAATATTATATTTACCAACAAGAAATCAATATTAAACAAAGAAGAAAGAATGAAGATGGAAACTGAATGGATATAAGTAACTCTTAGACAGTATAAATTTCTTACTAAAATAAAAAAAATAACAGATACTTATAATAATAAAATTTAACAAAAATAATGAATTATAGAAATTAAAGAACAAATCAAAAACATATTAGAATCTTTGAAAAAGAATGAATCATAACAAAAGAAGAATTAATCAAAACATCAATATTATTTTACTTGAACTAATAATGAAAATTAATAATAAATCAAATTGATATAATAAAATTAATAAAAAATATTCTTCATAATTTTCAAGAAGTATTTGAATAACATATTTCAGAAATCAGAAAAATGCTCAATACAAAATTAGAAATCAAACTATTACCAAATATAATTTCTTTCTATATATAATCAAGAAATTTGATTCAACAAGAAAATAATAAAATAGAGAAATAAATCAAGAACTTATTAAAATACAGACTGATAGAAAGATTTATCTTAAGTTGACAAGTTATTAATATAATTGTAAGAAAAAAGAATGAAATATATAGAATTACATAAAATTGAAAAATATTTAATAAAGTAATAGAATCAATTCAATATATCTTATCTTATATAAAGAAAGTACTAATAAAAATTAAATAATTTAAATATTTCATGATATTAAATATATTTTTAGGATTTTATTATATAGAGAAATAATAAAAATATTTCATATATAGAATAAAAAATATAAAATAATCTAATTTACTAGAATTTTAATTTTTATCTAAGAGATAAAAAGAATATGATTTGATATTTCTATTTTGTCAAAGAATTATAAATGAATTTCTTTTTATATAAATCAATTAATAAGAAATTAATTTAAATAATTTTGCAAATAAATCTATTTTAAATAAAATTTAATAATAATTATAATAAATTATTTAATATTTTATTATTTTTTAAAAAATCTAAATTAGTAAATTGATAATTTACTTGAATTAAAAGTTTAGATAAATATGAATAATATTAAAATAACTAATTTAAAAAAATAATATATATAAGTATAAAAAAATAAAATTATAAATTAATCTCATATTATTTTACTTCATATAATAATATATAAAAAAATACTATCTATATTTATTTTATAAATAAAAAAGAATTATTCATCTATAAAAAATATAATCTAATCATAATTTTATTATGATTAAGAATAGATTATCAAATTTAAAATTAAAAATTAATAATAAATTAATTAAAAAATTAATTATATTTTATATTATAATTTATATATATTTAAATTTTTATAAAATAATATATAAATATATAAATAAATAAAATAATTATATCTAAATAATATATATTAAATATCAAAAAATATAATTTAATTCTTATTCTTTAATAAAATATAAATCTAAATTATTAAAAATATATATACTTTTAATAATTTAGTTATATATATAATTAATTAATTTATATATTTAAAATAATATAATAAATTAAAAATATATAATATAATTTTTTTAAAAAATAAGTTTAATAATTAAAAATCTTATAAATAAGTAATTTTAAAGTAAAATACAAATCTAATAAAAATAATATTATAGATAAATATAAAATTATATCAAGTATTTTATATTTTATTATTAAAAAAATATAATTCAGATAATGAATTTAATAAATATATATTATTAACTATTATTATATTAAATAATAAAAAAATATATAAAATTAAAAATATTCTTGATAAATGAATTTATTATTATAAATTTTAATATCTTATCAAAATATTTTCTTTATAATATTATTTAAAAATCTTTAAAAACTTGAAAAATATTATAAAAAAATAAAAATCTATATACTTAAATATAATAAAAATATTATATTTTAAATAAAATAATATATAATAATTTTAATTAAATTATATTTATTCTGATTTAATTTTTATTTTACATTATTTATATTATATTTTATCTTTTATATTACTTTTATTAAAGATTAATTTTATTTTGAATATATAAATAATTATTATATATTTAATTAATTTAGATTAATATATATTTTCATGCAAATTATTACTATATATTTTCTAATTATTAATTTAGTTAATTAATATTTTTAATTAGATTTTTTTTAATTATTTCTTTTATATTTTTATTTATTCTTAATTATTATTATTTATATTATTTATAATTATTATTAATTTATTAATTTATAATTTATTATTTTCTAAAGATACAAATTAAGTTAATTAATTATATTTAATATATATATTTTATAAAATTAATAATTTATTTATATTTTATATTTATCTTTTTTCTTATAAATATATTATTTTTATTCCATAATTTTATCTTAAATCTGAATACTATTTAAATACTAAAATTATATTTATAAATTAAAACTATTTACTTCATTTTTTATTTTATTTATAACTATAAATAAATAATTTTATAATATTCTTTTAATTTTTATAATTAAATTAGAAATTATTTATAATAAAATTAACTTATATAATTTATTCTTTAATATTTTCTAGTTTTTGTTAATTATTTAAATTTATAAACTAAATTCTTATTATTATTTTTATTTTTAGAATTATAAGAATAAGATTATTATTTAATTAATTAAAAAATTTCTTTATTTTATCATTTAATAAATTATATAGAAATAATTATTTATATAAATATTTTTTTTAAATATAATTATAATTATAACTATTATTATTAGATTTTTTATTATTTTTTATAGTTTATTTGATTTATAATATTTTTTATAATTCTTAATAAAAGTAATAGTGATAAATAATTTAATTTATATTTTAATAATAAAGTATTTAAAATTCATAAAACTTTATAAATATATTTTTTAAAATATTATAAACAAGATTTTTTAATAATATAAGACATATTAACTTAATAAAATTTTGTAAAATTTTATATTAAATATGGTAAATTAGATATTTAGATGAAATAACTTTGAAAAAAATTATTAAAAAGATTTCTAATAAGTAATTTTGAAAATATTTTTGTAATAATTTTAATTAAATTATTTTTCTTTAGCTCAGATCTTTATTTTATATTATTTGTATTATTATCATTTTAAATTTATATATACATAAATATTTTAAAATGATAATAATAACTGTATTTATAATAATTATCTATTTTTATATCTTTAAGAAATTAAATGATTGATTATCTTCTTAATAAGATAATATATACAAGCTTTGTCTATTCTTAATTTGTAAAAGATTATTGATATTCTCATAAAGTTCCGATAATGGTATTTGTTGCCCTAAATCTGGT